TTACAGAGAAATCCCGGTAAAATTATTGAACTTTCTCGGTAATTTTACTGGACCTTGATAAAAACGCCAATATTTTTTATCGACTGTGGTAGAATTAACGAGATAAAATGGCAAAGTTACCGGGAATTGATTACCAATAAAAGTGGTATTCTTACCTGGAAAAAACAGTAAAAATACCGGTTTTTAGGTAAGCTTACCAGTCTGTCTTGATAAAATGATCAATAATTGGTAAAAAAAAGTGAGATAGTATAGGTACCAACGGACCTTGGTAAAAACGCCGAGAATTTTTTTTCAGTGTGGCAATTTTTAGATTTTTTAGATCAAATTACGGACAAAATCTTCTGTAAAATTGGAAGAGAAATATACACAAATTTTCACGAAAATTCATGATTTGTCGAAGGAGATTTGGCAACTCCTGAAGGCTCATACGGTGTTTTTTCCGAGTGCGGTGGTACGGAGGTCCCGCGCCCACGTTTTCCACGCCGGAATTGGACCGGAGATGGTTTCTTTCGACGCTTTCATTGTCCCTTGAACTTGGCATGACTAATCGGGGCCCACTGAGGCGCCAAGGTCACACAACGGCCCCAAAAAGAAGGGTTCTATTCGAACTAGATCTGTATCATCCGGAAGCTAACACGCGATCACACGGTTGTCACCGTTTCAGGGAATGAAGACTCCGTATTGACGAAACGGTAAAGGAATTATTGTAAGTACTGTTAGAGATTTCCGCGTTTCCGCTTGGTTAGTTGAACGTATTTACGCTAAAGGAACTTTGTGCATACTGCAAAGAAAAACGCTGTATGAGCCTTTGCGACGTTGGGAACTTTCCTTTCGTATACTTTATATTCTCTTTGGGAAACTAGTCTCTCAATGTCTTAAAAATCTTCCTTGATTTTTCTTCTTTATTAGCAGAATATTCCGCAGAAATTTCAATTTATAGTTGACTTGTTTTTCTTCAAAAAAAATAAAATAAAACAGGAGCAGAGATTTCAAAACACGGCTATGGCGATACTTTGTTTTCACAGTTTAGCCATTGATATATGGGGAGCAAGAAACGCCCCGCTGAACTTATGTATTCTGGCTCCGCTTGGCGATCCAAATTCAGCCCTGGACTTTTTCCTACACAGTCGATCGCTCTCCTGACAAAAGAACGGAACTGCACTCTGCGATGAACCTTATTCCCCACAACATTTGATGTTTTTCCGGGCTCATCTCAATGTGTAAGTTCTGCCCTCTCGTCAGCCGGGTAATGAACCGTACTTTACTTGTGAAGCGTGCACCGAAAAAAAACTTCGGCCGTGGAAACCGTACTTACGGGCTATAAAAACATACCGTCCGTGTTCCGGGCTCAGAGGCCGAACGTTCCGGGCGTGGCACCCGTGCAATCGAAGCTACGGTTCCAGAACCCGGAGCAATCGAAGCCACGGCTACAGCACCCGGAACTTCCGTGTCAGAGGCCTAAAGTTCCGGGCGTAGCCAGGGTGTCTACTAAAACAGACTGACTATAAATCAGTACTTTTACAGTACAATTTTCAGTACATTTCCAAGTGATTCAGAACCTCCTTAACAGAAAAATTCAGGACTATTTCAGTACCTCCTATTGACGAAATTTGAGAAATCAAAAATTTGAATTTCTCGCTAGAATTGCGACCAAAATGACAAAGAATGAAAAAAATTCCGGCCTTTCTTGCGGAATTTCCGCAATATTTCAGTACTTCCGAACCGTCCTTAAAAAATCAGTACTATTTCTGGATTTTCCGGAAATTTCGGACTTGTAGACACCCTGGTAGCACCCGCAGCAATCGACGCTACGGCTCCAGCACTCGGAACTTTCTATCTCAGAGCCCGGAACGGACAGTAAGTCTATATAGCCCGTAACTTTTCCTTAAGTGTGCACCCCCACTTAGTTCCTTCTCGATAAACTCCGTGTAAGTGATTCCCTCGCTCGCGGTTTCAAGAAACCAACAACCACACTTCGGCTGACTGCATCTCTGACGCGACGCGACGCCACACGTCACGACACGACGCGGCGCGACGTCACGCTGCAATTTCGATTCGGGAAAATCGCGAGGCTTTTCCTCGCGAGTGCGAATCGAGGATAAATCAAGCGCATCAGCGTGGAGCTGCCGCGAAGACCACAAATCGCGAGTCCGCGGGGTTACGGGTTAGTGAGTCTCGCTTCCTTCGTCCGACAGCGCACAGTGGAGAGAATCACATGCAATTTTGACTAAATTCCCAAATTTTGATGTTTTTTCCATTACAATTTTAATTCTGAGGAGTGTTTATGGTGGAAAATTTAAGTAAAAATCAGTAGAGCTCACTTTAAACCTTTGCGTTATGTTCTGATTCAATTGTGACGGTCACAGAATCGAATTTTGATGGTTTAATCTTACAAATTTGCAAAAAATAATAAGACCTGTCCAAGTGTCCAAACGCCTAGTTTAAACTACCACTATTAACGGATATATTGTTTTGTGAAAAACATGATGTATGACGTCATCCACCGCGATAGTACATATAGGTACATACGTACATATAGGTACATATAGTTAAGGTTAACAGAAAAATTTAGTTCTTTTTCAGTACCTACATTTAGACGAAATTCGAAAAATTTCACAAATTTGAATTTCTCGCTCAAACTGCGACAAAAATGAGCAAAATTCCGGACTATCTTGCGGAATTTCCGCACTTTTTCAGTACTTTCGGACCGCTCTTAAAAAATCAGTACTATTTCCGGAAATTCCGGACTTGTAGACACCCTGGTAGTTTTTAAAGGGCTCTATCTCCGTTGATATTCGGCGCACAAAGTATTTACACAGATCTTATCATTTTTTCGCTGATCTACACTTTGGACTCATCAAAACACGATTCTGTGGCTGGTGTAAACGACCAATTGGACTGCATTTTGCAATTTGGACCTATAAATCGGTTAAAAAACAACGGTTATAACGGTTATAACGGTATAATCGGTTTAAAAACAACGTATGTGCCATTAGTTTCCCTCTGTACATAAGTGTTTTTTCAGATGAGCCAGAATTTATAGTTCCAAATTGCAAAATTCAGTCCAATTATGAAGCTTTGTAAGCTTTTAAAGTTTCCGTATTATGTCCAATCTCTCCTTTTGACTCATTCCACTGTGCGACGGTGCTGCGACCGGTCATCGATGACTTTCTTCAACCACCGACGCGACCGCCCGGGATGAGCGACGACGCATCCCGACTGTCTGCGGTCACTCGTCCTCCAGTCGTGCCACCTCGAGAAACTCCATTTAAATGACATTTTTTTCCCCCGCTCTTAGGTTGGTAATTATGTGTCTGATGTCTAGAGCTCGTCTGATCTGTGTCCGGAGTCTAGTTGAATGCTATGTTGTTGCATACTGCACGGTTGTAAAATTTTATCGGCACTACACACAAATTACTGCATAAACTTAAAACTTTTTGGGGAAACCCGATTAATATCACTTACTTACTTATTTTCTATGCACGATGGCCATTTTGCCGGATACGCCGGATACGGATTTCGCTATCACGCCGGATTTTCGAACTTTTCAACAATAAGGCAGTCACCTGAAGATGGGCGGCCTGCCCGCCCGAAATGGCCATCGTGCATAGAAAATAAGTAAGTGAGTGATATTAATCGGGTTTCCCCAAAAAGTTTTAAGTTTATGTAGTAATTTGTAATAGTTGAATGCTCCCGCTGGGCACGGAAAAAATCGAATTTCAGGTTTGATTTGAATGGAACCTTCCACCCTTTAAAAGGTACATGATCGTAGTAGTGGGTCCAGGAGGTCCGGAGACTCCTCGACTGGATGATTTTCCCAAAACTTTAATTTTTCGTCATGTCCAGAAATTTTTTGCTGAGAACATGACTAGACTCCGCCCCAAATGAAAAAATTCTGGCTAAGCTTTCACGATATAGAATTTGCAGGTGTCTGAAATTTGATGAGTTTTTATTCGTGTTTAACTGGAAACTACTGGGTGAGCTGAACACGAGGATACCCTTCGTTCATGAATTGAACAATTATTTGAGAGGATATGACAAAATGATTCAATCTGCTAAAATACATGTGTTTCAATGGGAAATGCCGCCAGATGACGTTGGTCACTAGGCGGTGCATTTTCTCACTTTCAAAAATATTTTTATACTTTTTCCCTTATCAAAATAAAAAATTATAAAAAATACTGTAAAATCAGCTCTTTAAGAACTTTCAGATGAAGCAATAAGAAATGTGCACGCACATTCTCCGTTAGACGTATTTCTGTCAAACGGAGCTATAGACTGGTGAGAAAGAAGGGGTGTGCTCGTAAGAGGAGGGCTGGAGGGCCATAAGAATGAATGGGAATTATAAGGCGCCGGTGACGTCAGCGACAACGATGCCGTCTCCGTTGTCGTTCTTGGTCGGCGTTAACTCATGAGCCCTGTCCATCGTGCTCTTTTGCGGCTCATGAGTGCCGCACTCGGTTGTCACATAGTTCCGTTTGACAGAATGTAAAATTTTCCATTTCTCCAAAGAGAATCACGCCCGCTTCAACATTACTTCTTACGCAGCTTTCTAAAGCACACTCCATCTTTCCCACTCGTCTACAGTTCCGTTTGGCAGAAATACGTCCATTTCAAGCGCCCTTAAACCTGTTTTCCTTCCCTCTAAGACCAGTGTTTGAAACTCAGCATGAAGTCTTAGCAGCCATATGGCCTGCAACTTTTTTCCGTAGGGGCTGTCTCATATTTCTTGGGGACCAAAATGAAAAATTCCCTTTTCGAAATGCCTTGAGTCAGGAATACGCCGAAAAATCCCAAAAACGGAGTTTTACAACGATTTTCTTAGCGGCCAGACTTAGCCGCTAGTTTCATTTCTTATCGGCCGAAGGAAATTTCTCACAGACAAATTGCTGCTTGGCCGGTGAGTGTGTGTGTCAAACACTGCCTAGGACCCTACTTCATTCATGGATGACCCATAAGATTGGCTCGACGCGTAAAAGAGAGTTTTGGGAGTGACTTACCACAACAGGCCTTTCCGAAGTCCAGGCGGACGAGCTGGACCATGTAGGGTTCGAGGAGGTTGACATACCACCAGGGGGTGGGCTCTGGTTTGGTTAGCGTGCATGTCTCCGTGCTGAAGAACGAGCTTGTGGAGCCGTCGATGGCCTTCTGCGGCACGCCGGCCAGCTCCGAACTTATCTGCATCGGCGCCTTTCCAGCCGCCACGTTCAACACTGAAACAAAAAAGAGAAAACAGGTTAAATACTGAGATTCTACCTTTTACTTTTTACCTTTTTTCTAATTAATTTTCTGGTTAATTTGGGTGGATCTTAAAGACTAAGGGAAAGAAGCATGGACTAACTAAAGGATCTCTCGAGAGTTGCCGTTATAGTTAGTCTATTACCTTCCTTATTTATATAACTTATTGGGTATACGAAGAAGCTCAAGGATAAATCGCCAGGCTGCAGCGGGCTGATTGTTGAAATTGATAGACAAAGTGGTGGACAAAAAGGAAATAATGAGAATGGAGCAACCTATTGGTTAATTTGGGTGGACCTTAAAGACTAAGGGAAAAAAGCATGGACTAACTTAAGGGTCTCTCGGGAGTTGCCGTTAGTTAGTCTATTACCTTCCTCCTTTGTCCATCGCAACCACTCGCTTCCACCGATAGGATCCCTCCACATCCTTTTTGGCTTCTTTTTCTATAGCTTTGTCTTTCAATTTCAACAATCAGCCCGCTGTTGAAAATAAGCGCTAAGTTCCGTAATGTCCGACTGGAACTGAAACCAATGGAACACGCAAAATGTTGCAAAGAACTATTAGTGCTCCTCAGCAGCTCATGTTGCCTGACACCTCATTGAAGGCGAACTGATGCGGTTGAGCGAAACGCATCGTAAGATGCTAATAGAACTAAAACCGATGTACTACGCAAACTGCTGTAAGCAACTATCACTGCTCCTGAGGCGCTCAAATTGCCTACTAACTTATTGAAGGTGAACTGGTTGCCAAAACAAGTGTTCAACTGGGTTTCTCCCTCTTGCGCCTAGTAAAAGGTACACGGAGAAAAAAACTTCGTGCATGGGACCCGAAACTGAGGTCATATGGATCTCTGAAGTTTTCCGATCACGCATCCGAAAACTTGAGGTCGAGCTGCCGTAGTTCGGGTCAGACGTCGAGGCACTCCGGTATGCACCGGAGTACTTCAGATGTGTGACCCGAACCCTTCGGTATATATCGAAGTACTCCAGATGTCTGACCCGAACTTCGGCAGCTGGACCTCAAGTTTTCAGATACGTGATCCGAAAACTTCAGAGATCCATATGACCTTAACTTAGGGTCTCACGCACGAAGTCTTTTTCTCAGTGTACGCGGCAGAGAGTGGAGGAAGAAATCAGAGAGGCCGTCATTTGCCTGATGCTACGTAGAAGGATAGATTTTGATGATTGACATTCGCAGAGCACCATAAAACGACGAATAATACTTAAAATAGTGAAATTTTGCCACCCTGCACAGTCATGATATCCGCAAAAGAGAGACGTTAAGATTCGAGACTTTAAACAAACGAACTGACGACAAATGGAATTCACGTACCCGCGCATAACATTGGCAAAATTTCGAGGACAAAGGAGTCTCATTGGCGACGAAATGGGTGAAAGGCGCGTGCGCAAACACAGACACCGCAGTCAATAGAGTCGCGTGCTTTTTCAGAGTGCGGCGAACTTTACCCTGCCGAGGTGAAACCGCATAACTCCTATACGAAAACCGCGGGAACTTACGCGATTTCTCCTCAGCACGACGGAGCAGTCGGTTTCTCTGTCACCGAGCCGGAATTGGCGACCTGCGGAAAGGGCACGCGGGTTAATAAGTAAAAGTGCCGGGCGTCGAGGCGACGATTTCTCGGCTCAGGAAGTTGGTAGCCGGTGCATTATGCGGCTTTTGCGTTTGTCGATGTCATTTCGCCCGTGACCAAGGAATTAGGAGCCTATCCCAGGGTTCAGGGTCGGAAAGTTTTGTCATTGAAACCGGTTGCAAGTTGATTCTAATCGAGCGTAGGGACGTGGCAAAGGTCGGTCGGTTCAGCTACTGCCGTGCTAAAGAAGAACGCCGTATGAGCATTCGAGGGTAAAATTTCCCAGGATAAAAAAAATGTATTGGTGAAGAGAGTTATTCATCCTTTACCTTGAAATTTTCAGATATTTTGGATCAAATTGCGAAAAATATTGTCTGAAAAATTTGAGGAAAATTGTTATCATCTTCTCGAACGTATCATTTCAATTACATCAGTAAGAACGAAAACACGCACCAACTCGAAAAAATGAAAAGAATGAAGACAGACACGAAACTTCACCGTAGATGAAGAGACTTTTGTCGCCAAAAGATAAGTACTTGAGGACTCGTTAAAGGTCCAAGTTGGAACAAATGCACTAACTTCATACCCATCATAAAAATGGACTGACCTCAATGAAAATTGCGTATTTTCGAGTTATCGAGTTGGTGTGTTTTTGAACTCACTGATTCAATTGCGTTTGCGGCACGGTGATAGCGCTAAAATACGTAATTTGCCAAACACCATTTTTACTTGTTACCATTTTCTGCTCAACTCTCGGCGCTGTCTTGATTTGCAGTTTTCCTGGACTTTGCGTAGGTGTAAAATAACCGTGCCGTTAAATAATTGTGCCGTTTTAGTTCGACAGAAAAGAAACATCCGACTGTCACCGCGAGAACGGGGGCAAACAGGAGGAGGAAAAAACCTGGATCCACTACAATAGACCAAGATGAGCACGAGAGCGTCTAGGGGGAAAGAAGTAATCAAAATAATGACGACTAAATGAGCGATGCAGAAATGTAAACTGCGGAGAAACCTCGGCCAAGTGCACCGTGGACGGTTGCAGTAATCTGCTGGGATTAACCGCGCGACATCTCTATCATCTGCGGCGCGCATATTTTTATCCCCCCCCCCCCNCCCCCCCCCCCCGGTAACCCCTTTCTGCCCCCTCCGTGCTGTGGAAGCCGAAAGTATTTTGGCCGTGAACTACAAACCACGCTAACCGTGAAAACAGGCGACAGTTCCGACCCGTAGTCGATGGAATTATCGCTCTTTCGGGACGATATTACACCGGGATTCAACTTAATGTCGTCGAGGCTGTTTTTCAAGCAACCTAGGGGACGATTTTATCGGTAATTTATCCGGTGGCATGACGTGCTTTGCGATATATATCGACGGTCAGGGCCGACTTAAGGTGTCGGACATGGGCCGCGGCCCATGGCGGCAAATTTAGGGGGCGGCAAATATTGTAATTTTTTCAAATGTAGGTATTAAGAAAAAAATCTGATTCAGGAAAAAATCACAAATGAGGGAAGGCGAAAAAATCTCTCATGTGCTGAGAGCTAAAGTATAGTAATTTCTAATTTGCTCGTCTTTCGGTGATACATGAGACAGCGCATTCCATTAGTCTAGTTGAGAGAGAAACCAAACACGCAATTTGGCCTGGAGCGGCGCGGCGCAGAGAGCAATGATGACGAGGACTTCGAGATGGAAAGGAGAAGCCCTCAGCGCGGCGGTCGGCATGTAACACATATTAGTGCTTACAAGACTGCATGAATACTTCACGCATTGCGTCAAAAACTGTGCGGTCACTTGGTCAGCAGCAGTCAGCGTGAAACGCATAGCGCCTACAAGACTGTGGGGATACTTCACGCATTGCGCCAAACACAGTGCGGTTGACGCGGTGGCGGAAATTAAGATCATTAGACCACATTCATTTTTATTCTTACTTATTCTTAATTTTTTCGTTCTTTTCTTATAAATGAAAGGCATTGTCCACACAGAGATAGGTCTGCGGAACTTAATTACCGAGCAAAGTTCCGTAAAATTTTGCTAGTGTTGACAGGGCTTTCACAAACGAATGAGATGGGGCGGCAAAATACAGGCGGCCCATGGGCGGCAAGAAGGTAAATCCGGCCCTGTCGACGGTGTAAGTCGGCAATCACATAACTCGGTTTGCGACGACGCAGACTTCCTATCATACTTTATTTTTTAAACGGAAAACTACTCAACGGCAATTCTTTAAAACTGCCGTCATTTTTCTTCTCTCTGCGAAGACAATTCTGCATAAACTTCAATGAATGATGTAAATTTGTTCTCTTTTGAAAAAATAACATAGTGATGGAGATTTTCAGACCCTGCAAACGAGTTATGTGATTGCCGACTTACAGCGTCTATATGACACTTTTTCCCGTGTGGTATTGCGAATACTACTATAGTATGAAAACTGTTACCGTTTTATAGCGGAATGGTTAATGCTACTATAGAGTCTGTTGATGATTACCATACTCGTAACAACGTTATACAAAGGAAAGCTCTAAACAACTTGTAATTTGCCTTCTCCCTCTCCATGAAACCGGAATGTTTCGAATTGAATGTAGACAATTTCAGTTGACAAAACAATTATCAGGAGGATAAAGCGAAGAATGAAGATGCCGCAAGATTGTCGTGAATTTTACGCCGGCGCACAGTGAATCGATTCATTTACAGAGGTCAGACATGATATTTTTTACTAAAACTGGAAATTTTTGTATGTTAATTTCGTCAAATTTTAAATTTTAAAGAGTACTTCCAGCAGAAAATTTTGCAAAGAAACCAATGGGACCACTTTTAGAACCTCAAAGTTTTGTGCCAACGGAGATAATCATTGAAACGTTGGCGGAGATTTTGAGAAAACGCAGCCAAAGAATGCCCTTTCTGCACCTAGCGCTTCAATTCTCACCGATTTTCAATCACTACGTCAATAATTTTACGAGAAGATTGGTAAATACGAGTACTATCTTTTGAGTGAAAAAAGGACCACTATCATAGGTTAGGGCTCCTGTTGATGAAGAGTCCGTATGGGACAATACTAATTTGATAATTTTAATCAGTTTTCTCTCAGTGCATGATTACATGTGCGAAAATCGTCCAACTTTCAAAAACTTTCTGCGCCCAAGCTACAATTGGATAATTTTCGGAGAAACTTCAAAGCTCGGGTGTCGACACACGGGCCGCCACACGCACCTGTGAGAGCTGCGGAGCCTCAAATTAGCCGAAACAACAGACCTGCGCGGGAAAAACTTCAAGATGAAGAGATGATGATAGACGGATGCGTCTAAGTTAGTTTTAATGTCGAGCCTGATCGGCTTGAGCTTTGTGCCGTGCCCGCGAGACGAGAAACGTTGCACAATCGAAAAATAAATCTTG